TGGAGATCATCGTGATCCGATCCCGGGTGGAGTCCGGGAATTTCAAGGGTTCCTGGAAGGGAAGGGATGAGCATCGGAGAAGCCCTCTGAAAAAGAATGGGTACAGTCTGACTATAGCTCATATTAGACAGTTCAGTTTAGTTCAACCGTGACTGTTGATCCTAGTCCTATCAACCCAGCTTGGAAACACAAAAGGGTCACTGCTTGATCTGGCACCGGTACAACTCCACGTGGAGGTTTCCACCTCTTGGGGGATCCCACCACAGGACGATTGGAAAAACAGGATGCGGCACGAAACGCTCAACGAATCCGCGGAAAACTGTAGTTCCCTGTGTAGTTATCTCATGCCCATCCCCAGATCATATTGAAATATATCCCCTGTACGGCCCTCCGATCTAGGACTCAATGAGGGTTTGGACTGGCATGATACTTGAATCTCCAAGTACCGTTCGAGAATCACCATGTTCAATGAGATGAACGTCTACTTTCATCGTTTATTTCTTCATCGTCCTTTTAGGAAAAATAAAGGCCACGGTTTCGCATACAACTTATCATAATTTAGCAAATCATTGTAAACAAATAAAATCGCGGGGTGACACCTCCGTGAATAAACCAACCAGTTGGAATTTGGGACATCTATATATCTGATGGAATTATGGCATCACCAACCTGGACAATTAAACACCATTTTGGGATAGCTACAGTATCCAAATATGAAGCATCATGTTCTAGAGATTCTAGTGATGTTCTGGCAACGCCATATATATATATATATATATTGTATATCACCTAGAAATATGGCCAAACATCCAATTACCATAAGGCAATTACACATACTTTTGCTGATCAGCAATAACATGACTAAACTTAACATTAATGTATTCCAAGTCATTGAGCCTGTGATGTAGTAATCACCACCCAAAAAACAAAGGATCTACTGTTCTATCTCCTTGGGCCTTCAAACCAGATCCAGAGCTCGAGCTCCCATGTATTTTTGCATGGAGCATTCCATTTTTATCGGTCGAACAATAACCCATGATGATCCAATAAAAATGGATGCTAGAACTTATAACCCATGAAAATCCCATAAAGTATGGTATATAATCCACATGTGTTACCATGGATGGTGTGTAAATATATAATTCCATAATAGCCATAATCAACCACCACCAGGGCTTGCAGTGGCCATAATTCTCGGCTCCTTAGTACACTCGATATCCCAGGCGAAAATGCGCAACCCCGGCTTCTTCTGCCTTGGGGCAGTTTTTTCCCGGAGTTCCTTGACCAAAATTCCGGGGAAAACTAATGAACATAGCAATTTGTGTGGGTCAATTCAGGGCTTTCTTTTAATAGTATATTGTTGATGATGATCATGTATGTTGATCTCAAACAATATAGGTGTCCATTGCTTCTTTCTGTTAATAAGTTGTTACTTTTAATCATCAGGGTGCATGAGTCATTGCAGCCTCGATAAGAATCATCGTTGAAAATGCCTGAAATCCTTTCTCACCAATCACATATCCCCATTGCTGTAGGTGGAACACCGTGGATTACCCTTGTTGGGAAATGGGTTAAGAAGTGAATGTCCTAATGATCCCTAGTGACCATCCTAAGTGTTGCCAGAATAGACAAGAATGGGGTGTTGGTCCAAACAAGGTTGGCCGTAACCATCTCAATGAATTCTGTCATCCCTACATCAACTGCTTGGTTCCACTGCTTAGAAGTCACTTCACCCTTTTTATCCATGGTTACAATCACTCAGTTTACCCTAGTTTATTCAGTCATCTTCACCAACTTAGCTAACGAACTCAGGCATCACCTTGTTTTGAGAGCAGGATTCCACTTGATGTACCACTGAACCAATCCATGGGACACCTCAAAGCTGGAACACCCCTGCTACTTCCCCATGCACTTTGCACCCCTTCACTTTGGGAATTCATTTACCACCCTTGTATGGTGATTTAGTGTGATCTGGGATTAGAGTGGGGTATTTCCTGGAATATACCCAACAACAATACCCTCGGGAAAATTAACACAGCTATATGAGGCTATATGGACAATTCAAAATCATTCATCAAACTACATGGGCCACTGTCCAGAGCTATGCACATCACGGATCATCACACAAGGCCGGCCCCTCAGTTATCTCGGTCGACTTCATCCATCTAACTGTACATATATCCAGGAAGTAACACCCAGTTCACTTGGTTAGTCCAAGCAACTTATCCATATATATATATATATGTGATTATATGATGATGTATGTTGGTCCTTTACAAGATTATACAAGTATATATCAATATTGTCTCAGTAAACCCTCTACTTTGATAAACACAACATGGTTCTCTACTTTGATAAACCCTCAATATTGTCTATATTCTATCTTAGCATGACCCACGGTGCACGCCCACCGGCCCAAAAGGCCGCCGCACATGTCCAGCTCGGTCAACTTGCACTGGGTATCATAGAGATCCTCGATGCTGGTCGCCAACTGGTTTCGAGTGACCTCGACAAGGCCAGATGGCTGGGAACTTCATGGAAGATCATGGAATTTTGTTAGGAAACAGATCGAAAACCACGGGTGTTTCTTCCATTGAGTGACATTTTTGAGTTGGTTTCGATCACGAATTTACCAAGCCTTTGAGAACTTGATTCCAGGAACCACATACTATCATCATCACTATTATCATTATTCAAACACAAGTAGTGCTGGTTATAGAATATATCTAAGATGAAAAGAAAAACAAAAAACGTTGGTTCCAAATCTCAACGGAGAAAAAAACATGCTAGTGAGCAGTGTATGTTCTTTGTTTTTCATCAACAACCTACAAAGGCCAAGGATAAACATGTCCTTTGAGGGTGGCGCGGGATTTACAAGGCTTTACTCACCCTACCTCCATATACCGGTCCCCAAAAAGGTTTCAACCACTTTTCCAGGAGGTCAAAAAGGTTTCCAGCTGTTCTGTCCAATTCCGGTTTGCAACAATTGCAGTTATGGCCCGAAATACCAGTTATAAGTACTAACAAAACCCTATTTATGGAATGTATAATCACAAATAACCAGTCATTTCACCATTTATAGCTGCTATTTGGGTCTTTAACTGTGCTTAGTTGAGTGTACCTTAGAATACCTTAGGGAATACATCATGTATTGGCGGAAATGCACCAAGGCATGCCGACATCATTCCGATTCTGCCTGTGTCACACGCGCAGCGGAGCACATAAATAGTTCCGGTCTCTGATTTACCCTCGGGTAATTTAACATAGCTATTGAAAAACAATGCCATGTATAACGTTGATTTACCCATTAAGAATGGTGATTTTCCATAGTTCTGCTAGTTTATCAGAGGGTATACCCTTTGGTAAGCTAACATAGCTATAATCACCATCTTTCCATAGGTAATTAATTGAACATCATTGAACTAAATTGGCAATTCACAATAACTATATGATTTAACTGTGTTCATTTACCGGAGGGTAAATGAGATGGCATCAAGTCGTAATGAAGTTGTTTGCACTTTCCAGTACAACGCTTCTTCCCCTTCTTTAGCTCACAGAACGCCATCAACAAGTGGCATCGTACCATTTTCCAACGTTGATCTTGTTGTCAATGCACACCTTAGTGCACAAGGCGGCTATTCAAACATGGCGAAAGAAATGTCAGAAGAGGCAGAAGAGGAGGAGGAAAGCCGCGTGAGGGATTGCAAGCGTTGACTTGTTAGTGGTTCTAATCCGCCCAAGACCTGGCAATGGGAAATTCGCTATAAATAATTGTAGTATGAAGAAGTAGTATAAATACTTGATTTTGATGTTTCATTACCATGTTGAATTGCCGGAGGGTAAACATTTAAATAACATTCCCAAAATTGATGACTGGGTCTGCCCCAGGCAACCAAACTCGATTCACGTACGCCACATCGTGCTCGTAGAGTTCCTGTCATCTCAGGCGGATAGATTGGACGTGAAGCCAGCAACCAGCTGCTGACCATGGAAAAAACTAAGCAGCAAAGGCCCTAAAGAAGGTGTGCTTTTGGAATTGGGTTTGACCACTTTACCCTTCATAAAAGGGACATGTGAGGTACCTGATATCCGTAAAATTCAATGGAGGTATCTTGGTTTATGTAAGGCCTGTGTAATACACAAAGTTCACGGATCATATTACTGTGGATTTTGACGGGATCTGCCCCTAAAAAAACACGAACTCATGGGACATCCGGGTATCATGGCAGATCATCGAATCGTAAATACCCTGAAAGAGGGAGAAACTCTGACATCATATTCCATCCCCTCCAAAGCAACTATCCCCAATAAGGGATCTGCATAAGTCCAGGGGGAGACAGGTGACTGCTTGAGCCTTTGGATCGTTTTGGAGGATCCTGCGATCAGGTAGTTGGTGGAGGTGTTCATATGGCCCATTTATAACATCATTATCTAACATGTGACATACAAAATTGATAATCTACACGTACAATATATCAAATTATTTCAACATGTTCTAGAACAAACGTTATATTAAATATTATTATATATATATAATCATAATGATTATAATTAATGAACATGTCTACAATAATCTACATATTGAGAAGTGGGCTCTTGTGAAATAACTATGCTTACTATAGCAGCTTACTGGGGATGACCATATGCCTCTATGTCATCGATTGCGGAGCCGGTGTTCTTCTGGGGACTGTCGAAGGTCAAGGGATCTGCGCTCCTGACGCGGGGGTCAATTTAAAGAAAAAAACTCAACGGAACATGCTTCATTTCTAGATGTTTTTTGCCATAAAACCATTTGATGAGGGATTTCACATTGCCACGCTTGATGACTGGAGGGTAGAGGAAACATCCAACACCTTCTTAGGAAACATCCAACACCTTCTTATGTCTGATAGGAAAGAACAAAACTAGTTTCCTGTGATTTTCCCCATCAGTCCTATGACACATAAGTTGGTGGTTTTACACTTCAAAAATACTAGTCATCAGAGTCATCAGGCACTGTTTTTTACCACGCAAAAAAGCGCGGGCTGGCGCCGCTGGCGCGGTTTCGCGCACGGCTGGATGCCTTCTCAAACTTCGGGACTGTTATTTTTTACCAACTCTGAAGTTTGACAGCTTACGATAAATGTGACATGGAGAACCATGCTCTCTATTCATACTATCCCATCGACAACCAAATGATCTTCTATTTGATGTCGAGTTTTGACATCTTCCCCAATCAGGGGGCCACCTTTGCGGGTCCACATTTGGTGAGCTTCCGGCTGACGGGTACGCGAGATCCATGGGCGCAGGGTCGACGGTCAGCAGGTTGGAGCATGTAGAGGCTCGGCCTCCAGGATTAAAGGGTCATGATGAGGGTGGTCAGGGTGGTCGTCAAATCTTCTTGATCATATGGTTGATGACATATACTGCAAATATATATATATAATATTATATATATATCATAAAATGATTAACAATTTATATATGTATAGATTTAATTATATATATATATATCATAGATATATAATTATATATGGGCGCAAGTCAAAAATCGGGTATGGATCGCTCCGCGGTGATCCGTACTTTGGATCGGGAGTGCTTACATAAGGTGCCTAATCCGTACCCTTTCGTAAAGGCTCATCATAGCATACAAACTGTATTGATAGTCCTACTTGCTATTACTTCTCCTCCCGCTACTGTTGCTGCTTAAACTGTTACCGCTGCTCGTAGAAGGAGCACAAAAAAAGCAGCCAGCACCAGAAGCAGTAGTGGCAATAGAAGAAGAAGCAGTAGCAGTAGAAAAAGCAGTTGCAGTAGCAGTAGTAGTACTAGTAAAATTAATAGTAGTAAGAATAGTGGTAGCGGTAGTAGCAATAGTAGCACTAGTAGCAGTGCTAATAGTAGCAATAATAGTAGGAAAAAAAGAAGCAATAATAGTATATAATAGTAGTAATGTAGCAGTACTGTTAGTAGCAATAGCATTAGCAATAGTAGTAGCAATTGTAGCAATAGTAGTAGTCGTAGCAGCAGCAGCAGCAGCAGCAGTAGTGCTAATAGAATCACCTTTCATATTGGCATGTGTTGTGGCGTGACTGGCTTCGGGTATGGATCGGGTATGGATCGGAACACGCTATCTGGGTTGGCTTTGTCGCTGTGAAAGAAGAGAGCGGGAATGAGCGGGATATTTCTAGCCTAGTTCTACAAGTGCCAGGCAAAGCAGCAACAGAAGGAGTTGTAATCATAGCACCACATGAAGCACAAGAAGCACCCAGTGCAGCTAAAAAAGTCTTATTAGCCTCCAAGGTGCACTTGCAATATCTTGCAGTATTACTAGGTAGTTGCACTTGTCCAACTACCAGAAGCACACAAAGGAAGTGAACCAGCACCACCACCAGGCACGAGCAGTAGCAGAAGCGACAACAGTAGCAGCAGCTCCTAGGAGGAAGATGACTAATAGTGGCAGCAGCAGCAGCAACAGCAGCAGCAGCAGCAGCAGCAGCCGTGGCGGCGGCAGCAGTGGCGGCTGCGCGGGAGCGCGCAGTGGAGGCAGCGGGGGCTGCGGAAGCAGCAGTAGTAGTAGCAACAGTAGTAGCAGTACCAGGACCAGAAGCAGTATTAGGACAAAAAGCAGCATTAGGCCCAACATCAGTCATTCTTCAACAAGAAAGGGGTATGGAACAGGGGTATGGATCAAGGGTATGGATCATGCAGTATCATAGGGTATGGATCAAGGTATGGATCGGGGGGTATGGATCGCGTGTGGGCCCAGGGCCTTGATCTATGTGAGTCAGTATAGTATTGCAGTTGACCTAATACTTCTTGTTGTGTGCGTGTTTTTTTCCCGAGAAATTCAATATGTTCATTGGGTTGTTATGTATTGAATGTTCTGACCGATGCAGCTGATACCTGGATTTCAAGAGTTTGTCTCATGTATCCCGAAATATGGATGTTTAACAGTTTAACAGATGTTTCTATCACCCATATGCTTCATGTAAGGAATATTTATCTACATTTGAGCTATTTTGGGGGTAAATGTAGGTAAATATTCCGTACAACATCTGGGTCATGGTTTTCTCATGTTTTCTCCATTCAGCTGAGGCACTCTCGAGGCTCTGTATACCGTGCGATGCCATCGCCGGCACTGTGGCCTCCATGCCGCACGGATCTGGGAGGCCAGGCGACGCTTACCTTGCGGAGAAAGCGGCTTGGGGTTGTCCAGGCCCATGAACCAAACCGGGACAGTTGGCCCATCTGGTTATGACTAACATAGCCATGGAAAATCATTTTTTTTAATAGGGAAATCAACTATCAATGGGCCATTTTCCATGGCTATGTAAAGTAACCAGAGGGTAATTCATTGATATTCATTATAATCATGTGTGTATATAATTATATTATATTATATTGACATCCTTTTGTGAGGGGCTGTGGAACTGAATCAGATGTTCGGTGAAATCACTGAATGAACTGCTGAAAAATTATGAAATCACTGGTGCACCCCAACATACCCCAACGAATCGCATGAGGATTTGCCCAAATTGAGAACGTGCGCCGTGGAAGGTCTTGGAAGCTTCGGGAACCACAGTGGACACAACACAACGTTACCCAAACTCCCCCTAGCAGGCCCTATAGCGTCCTGGCATCCGATTCTGGGCACAAACCTACAGCCCTGATATTTTTGCCAAAGTCATTGCAATCGCTTGTGGTCGACAAATCTATACCCTATTTGTGCACCCTTTGACAATCCCATCTTGGGATCCCTTGCGATCCCATCAATTCCGGTGAAGACTTCCATTCAACCGGCACTGACGTGTTGGAGCCATTGGAGATGCTGGGGAACACCCAAAGAGTGCCATTGTACTTATGATGACCTTCAGCTGACTCACGACAATGGTGTGAGGAAATATCAGTTTCGAATGGGTCAATTAGTTATGGGTCAAAATTGGGTACATGAATAATTGGATGGATAATGCAAACTATAATGCCAAAAATATCTGGTCCCTGTCCCTGGGTCTTACATTTGACCCAGAGCCAATGGAGTCTCTAGCCCATTTATTCAATCTACCAGGTTTCCTCACCCCAGATACAAGGGAGGTAAATTGGCTAAATCAATTTAATGTCAGTCATCATCCCTTTCCCTGGCTAAAGAGGTGAAATCATCACTTTCCCCACTGGTGGTGATCATTCACCTCCAATGGCTTGGAGGAAAACTCAGTACCGTTCGTCGCAACCAGGTCACAGCATTAACTCGCAGTAGAGGGCCACGCTTCGGAGAAGCCACTGCTTGGGACTCTTGTGCGATCGCAGCAGAACCTGCTCCACATGATGAGTTGATATAGATCCTGGTTGGTGGCTTCAACCCCTCTGAAAAATATTAGTCAATGGGAAGGATTATCCCATATATTATGGAAAATAAAAAATGTTCCAAACCACCAACCAGGATCATAAGGTGAGGTCTGCCACATGTTTTGAGAGCCCCATCTTGGCGCGGATTCTTACGCTTGCCCGGATTAAGGTAAACTAAGATAGCTATGAATCATCTGTAAATGGCTCATTTTCCATAATTATGTTATGTTGGAGGGTACCAGCCATGCATAATCATATATGGGTTTCTCTGCAAATAGGGTAATTACTTGTACCCTAAATCCACTGTGATCATTGCCATTTGGGGTGATACCGGTTCACCCCATTTACAGATACACGCAAATATCACATTGTTGATCATTATATATTCCATTAGTTTCCCATTGTAGCATTGTAGAACCAATTGTGTGTTGGTGTGTATATATATATATACACATATGAGATATGACATATGTACAAGTATGTGTATAAATAAAACATAATAAATAAACAATTAAACAAATGAATAAATATAATATAGTAGATAGATAGATAGATAGATAGATAGATCTATATATATATATATACAAATACATGGACATATCAAGTCTACATATCATCCCGGGCCATTGCGCCCACTCCATGTTACACCCCACGACCTGGGATTTTTGCAGCATGGTTCGGCTATATCTTGAGATATCCCTGGGGGATCATCCCACGAAAAAAAAAAAAAACTGGTGGGGTTTGTTCACCCATTTATACATGATATATATATATATATATTGGATATAACCATTGGATATAATAGATATACCAAAACCATTTTCATCAATATAACTGTTTCATCATATTGGATATAAATCTGGTTGGTGGTATACCTACCCCTCTGAAAAAAATATGAAAGTCAATTGTGTCAATTGGGATGATGACATTCCCAATATATATATGGAAAAATAAAAACGTTCCAAACCACCAACCAGAAATGGGATAATCCACGAAATGGAGACTTACGTTCACAAGGTGTAGACCTGAAAACCACTTACGAACCAGATCTACAGTAAGTGGGATGATCCTCCAAGTACATCCATTTGGATAATCCACTATGAAGCATCATTTATAGTGGATTATTAAGCATTATTAACCATTCATAGAGCCCACGGATGTTACCCACGGATGTTACCCCGCCACCTCTGTGATATAGTTGCCGTCTTCGCCGTCTGTGGTCATGTGGCTTTGACGCTCCGCCTCTGAAGAGGCCATGTAACGTCATCGTTGTTGGAGGGCAACTTTGGAGGAAAAAGGAAACGACATCAAAGGAAAACTCCATGATTTCCTTGGTAACTATCAAATATGTATGTAATACGAATATGTATGTAATTACGTGATAATCTACTTGATATGGTTCGATTTTGGTAAATATACCAGGCATACTGTTTCATGATTTTCTTATGTTTTTCTTCCAAAAAATCTCAAAGAAACCCTGAACACTTCAATTCATCCAAGTCATTCCATCGGCAAATTTCTGTCACCTCTCCAACCCTGCCTGATAGAAAGGAACAGCATAGGTCTTCTCCAGGTTCGGCTTGAAATCCTGACGGATCTCCAGAGAAAAGACATGGATAAAATCAACATGAAGAAGAAACCCTTTTCTATCCCTTTCTCTTAAACCATCTTAAGAAATTCTGATATTCAATTATACTGAACCTCTTTGCTTTGCTGGTTGCATAAAGGTTGATAATGGATAATGATGGGGGCGGAAGGAGATCAATTTTTTCGGAAACAGTGCAATGGATTGCCACGACTTTTCGCCACTCAAACTGGGCAACGGCTGCCCCATCGACCGCCGTAAACGACCCACCCTTTGACCACGGTCCGCAGTGGGGATGAAGTGAATCACAGGCATGCGATAGAACAACTCATCGGGACGGCAGTCAGCCTGGCGGCCAAGACTTTTTAAGGGTCCGCCAGCAAGAAAGATATCAACAGAAATAAACCCCTCCCAGTATATAAGGGACCCAAAATAAATAGGATCCAGGACTAAACCAGGGTTTATAAGCGGGTATTTGATATTTTTGGAAATGGACTATATCTTAGCTTCCCAAATTCATTTATGAGGCTCCACCAAAGCTTATGAGAGTGTAAAAAGACACCACTATATAGCACACACTCAACGTTCTCGCATCTCTAAAGGCCTGCTTTAGTGAAGGATCTGTTCATACTCAGTTCTCAAAGAATGGATAATTTACCCTCCAGTACATTCAACCCTTGCCATTGAGCATTGGGAAATCGCCTAGAAATAGAGGTTCATCCTAGGTCGGACCTCTCCAGTGATGAGTCCATAAAGCAATGGGAAAGATTCCGGGAAAGGATGCTGATCATCCCAGGAATCATTGGAACACGCAAAACATCACGGTAAACACCTGGATATTTGGTTAATAATATTGTTTTTTATTTTTTTGTGAAAAAACAAAACCTTATATGTGCTGTAGATTTTCGATTTTATACCCAGCCAATCCATTCATGGCTGTATCAGTTGTCTCCGCATTCATGGCTGTTTCAAATCTCCTTTGATGATCATTGCTGGTCAGTCTCCAATCAAACATGCTACCGTGGGGTGTGTCTGAACATGGTTTTCCCTCATAAAATCATAATCTTGGATTATAATGGGGCTGCTAAGCCGCTTTGCCGATTTCAACATGTCAAGACAATGCCACACAAATTCCAAAACATATTGTTGGTTAAACATCCCATGATATCCCAAAAAAATATCCGGTTATACCCTGATTATTGTTGCTTCATGGTGGTTACATATTCCAGAATATAAGCAATTTTCCCATCTTGAGGATCACTATCCCATGCTCTTCCCTACATCCCAGATATTGGTTCAACCCTCCATTGCCACTGATCGGCTTAATTGATATCCCACTAGTATCCCAGTAACTTACCATCACAAATCTCATTCATATCCCATTTATATATCATATTAATGACCACTAAATGCAATTTCTACTTCTACCCCATTAACATCCCATGTATATCCCATTTATATCCATTTATCCTATATTAATATCTCAGCTTCACCCCATGAATATATATATATATATATATACACACATAATAAGAATATCCAATGAACAATCCCACAACAAAAATCACTAGAATCAATTCCCGAGATCTGCCACGAGACCATGATAGACTTCCTGCGATCCCAGCCAGCGCCGTAGAGAAAGATGCCCACACAGTACAAGCCCGTGGCAGGCCGGTCCTGGCCACCATTTAGGCTGAAAAAAAATGATGATCAAAATATTATGAAACCCATCAGGTAAATGTCCTAATTCCTCACATCACCCAACTATTGGGGATATAGCGTCCAACACTAGATTGATGTTCAAAATCTGAAAAAATAACGAAAGATTTATAAATATAATATATATATATATAAACCAACCCCCAGCCATGAAAAATGCTGATTTCCCATAGCTATATAATATGTCAAATAAATTAAAACAACCAGAGGGTCAGAAACACGGCCTGAAAATCCCAAGCTTTTCCAGACCTGGACGTCTTCCTCCTCTTCAATGCGCTCCAACACCTGACACCGTTTCTTGATAAATGGGGATGTTCAGCATGGAGCTATGTAATTGTATATTGGTTATGCATATACTAATTACTGTGCAATTGCAATTATCATAGCATATATATATACACAATTGTAGATGTATAATCATGTATATCATATGGAATTATATAGATCTATGGAATCGATGGACCTCTAGACCTGTATGTGTACTTGTGGATAGTTGAGGATGAATTTTGAATAATTCTGGATGTTGTGCAGAGTTTGAACGGAGAGATAACCTTGGGATGGAACAGGATCAACTCGTGTTTTGTG